ATCCATATAATCATGGCCTAAAGTATGCACAATATTCCTAGAACCATCCTTGATATTCTAATTTTTAAGCAATAAATTCCCCTTCCTGAAAGAAAGTAATTTATGCCTACGTGCAAAGATAAAACTTTGAAGATCGACAAAATAGCCAACAGAGTGCTGTCACACAAGAACACCTAGAAGTTTTCGAATGGAAAAAAATGTGGACTGGAAAATAGAAACAGAGCAGAATTAACCAGAAGTAGCAGCTGTGATCAGACATTACATATCTTTTTCAAATAAAAATCTTGCCATCAGTGGTCTTTTATACCATCATTTTAATTATCAACTTTCATAACTTGTCTGCTTATTTTAAATTAAAATAAAAATAAATTTTATATAAATTTTAAATAAAATTAAAATTGTGATCATATACATTAAACTTTTACTATTGTTACAAGGAAGCCTTTTTTCTCTCTTCCTAGTTGCCCCCATTCCGTTTCTTACTGTAACTTCATGTATATATGGATAGAGTCTTGCACATAGAGAAAAGTTGATCATAAATACAGGATCTACATTATTTATGTTCTGAATAGGTTTTATGTGCAATGTGTAAGACGGTGAATCAGAATCAGTAGAGCACTGTTACATCTTGTCCTCACTCTCCCTTAACCCCACCATTTCAGTGTAACACAGCATGAACTGCAATACATAAGGACAACTTTTTTAAATTTTATTTTAGCAATTTGCAAGCAAATCAGATAAAGATCCTTCAATAACCTTGCTTTGTAATACAAGAACATTACTTCATTATGCACTGTCATCGGTTTTGGTATCCTATGGTCTTGTGCACAAAATTCAAAGCTTGAAATGAGGCAGAGCAGTGCAACATCTCAGCATTCCTGTGGGTATAGCCGCATCGTCAACATCATGTGCACATAATCCACCCACCTACCCTTTCTAATTCCAAGAGTGCCTGTTTCCTCACACTGTTATTACTCCCACATGAGTTTGCCCTTTCTCTCTCAGCTTCAATAACAACATTAGCTGATTTCTGGACAGACAAAAAACAACAGCTGCTTTCCTTTCCTTTGGGCATTAAATACCATGTAGTACACTTTTCCTTAGGAAAAAAAACTAACCCTAATAGTGGTATAAATACTCCAAAATAGACATTTACAGAGATGAACTGGAAATGTTTACCAATCTGAAATGCAACTAGTGTGTAGCACATTCCTGTGTATGAGCAATATTTTTAGTCACTAGATTCTGAATGAATGTGTCATTTTCACCCACATTGAAAACAGTATGCTTAATGCCCCCAATTCTGCTGTATTATCCATAAAGGAACACTTGGGGCTTTTTCTTGGTATTTAATATTGAACAGTTTGTTCAGATGTTGTCTTTTCTCCTTAGTCTCAATGATGCTCTTGGTAATGATATAAAAAGCTCTTGTTGATAACTGTGTCCAAAAAATAAAACTCCTGTTAACCCTAACAAGGTGATGCTATATCTCTGCATCACTTTCTTCTCAAGTATTGTCCTATGCATTCCATGATGCTATTCATGAATGACAAGGAACTGTATAAACTGGAATGCATACATGCAATTTTTGACCATTCTGTTTATCAACATCTTCAGCAATCTGGAACCTTTCCTATAGGGTGATGGATGATTCCTGTTCCTGTGCTGAATGAGAGCTTTGCAGTGATTGAACAGAGGCGGCATTTCTGAAGTTACTTAGAATTTATTAATTAGCATAAATTAATTTACACAAGTTAGGTACGTTGAATTTCATCTGAAAGCTCATTAGATTTTGTGGAAAGAAAGGAAAATCTAAATATTAGCAAATTTCTTTCACCTCAGAGGGAGTTTCTGACTTTCTGATAATTTGCTTTCCATTACAAACTGAAGTGTCAACTTTATTCATTATGAGTAGTACTGTTGAATGAAAGAGACTAAACTTATAAAGAAGCCCTTGCCTCTGATACATACTGACCTTGAAAAAGAAGTGCTCATTCTCTTGCTCCTCAATCCTTGCACCAAAACCCTCCGCTCCCTTATTTGTGCCTAAAATGGATCACTAAAATTACCTGGGCTAGAAAAACTTTCCCAATATTCTTCCTATCTATCTTTCTTTCTATCTATTTATCTATCTATTTATTTGAATATTAGATGAATAAAACTTTCATCCTACAAGAAAATTCTCCTACTTATTTCTAAGTCATGATGAAAAGTAATCATGATGAAAAATCTGAGAGACACATATTGTTCTTCATAAAAATAATTTTAAAATATCCACATTCACCACAGTGCTGTTAAGCATAAAGGGAAGCAGAATCCAGGAACATGTGGTATAGTAGCAAAGGGGCACGCTAGCCACAATGTCTCATTTCTTATGTTACAGTCACTCTACACTTCACATCCAGCTTGCATCTAGACTATGTTTTCCTTAATCTTTTTATGCAAGCAATAACATCAGCAAAAGCCTACCACGAAAATCTTATTCCAGATTCCTTTTTCCAGCTTTAACTTCCTGACGTGTTTTTGAAATGCTAATGCAATTGAGAAGTGGTTAGATTATTCTGTGTACTGAAAAACACGTTTCCAGTCAGAATGAAAAGATATTTATGACACACAAGTTACAGCCAACTGCTGTCACTATCTCAGAATGTAATCAGACTGCATGAAATGTGCTTTATGACCTCTGTGGTGCATAGTTTTATACTATTAAATATAGCTTAGAAATAGAAGAAACTGATATTGATGGGATCTGTTCTTGATTGTGCACAAGGCAGACAGGAATTCTGAAGGAAACCAAAATAACAATACAAGTAAATGAAAGATCTAGTTGCAGGCTGCAGAGGACTCTTATTCTTCCTGCCATATTTTCAGTAAAAATGTGGCAGATAAATAGCCTTACTTAGTGTCTTTAATGTTATGCATACTATGAACATGACAAATGAATGTTTTTTCAGGCTGCTGAACTATGTTAACCAAAGCAATTGCATTTGGTAAGCTGAATAAGTCATAAAGTTTTGTTCTTGATGTAAAGGTTTAATAACTTTTAGATTAGTGCTAATAGGCAGATTTATTTACAACTGTGATTAAATACAAGCTGGACAGGAGAAGAGCTGAATAAAATACACTATGTATATTAACCAGAGTGCTAATTTTCCATGCCGCATAACCTTACACAGAAAGAATTTAAGGAAAGATTGTGTGATATGATCACTCTCAAACCTCAAACATTGGTGATTTACAACAATCCACAAAGCACTACATAGTCTGCAGAGATCAGCATATCCATATGGAATCTGAATATAATGGATGGAATCTGTTGCTCATACAGAAATGTTACAGTATGAACTAAATGAAAGGACCTCTTCCATTTTACAACCAAAACTTAAAAAAAAAAAAAGACGACTTAAATACAAGGTGCAAGTAAGGTGGCTGCTAGGCTCCTATCCTCAAGCATCACTTTTACAGCCTCTGGCACTGAGAATTATGTGCTAGAGTGTGACTGTTCATTGCTGGTATTCTCTATGCTTGCTCTAAAATGGATTACATCTTCAGCAAGAGAAAGAAATTTGAAACCCAGTGCTGACTTTGTCTCTACCTCAATCTATGCCAAGAATTCATTTGGGCTAAGCATCACATATAAGTAAACCCAGGAGAAAGAACTAAATCAGGTCATTATGAACTTCGGGACAGAAGGAGAGGAAAAGAAGTTGTATCCTGACCTGATGGCTCAACAGATGTGCCTTGTCTTGTAGAAACAACCCAGTATTCAGAACACTGGCTCTGCAATGGGTGTCTCCGGTTCTGCATCACTTCAAAACATCCTTGTGCAGAGGTTTGAACAAACTGTGCCATCATGGCTGAAATTTTCCATGTAGTAATTTTAAATACACTGTGTAGCATTCCCAAGTAGGCATTGTGATGTACCTAATAATGACTTGGACCCGAATCTGGCTGTAGTTACCATTCATTGCTATGCAGAATATAACCACAACTATAGTGAAAGTATAGAGCAATCATCAAGAAGGCTTTGAGATTTTTGTCCTTTTCCAGCAATCAAATGCTATTATGAGACAAGAAGTGATGATGATGAGTTATTGCCCATATCTACTGATATTACCTACAAAGAAAGGAGATAGAAACTGGGAGCCACACCTCAATGCCGAATTGCCTGTAAAGTTACTTCCTCATAGTCTGTATTTGAATCTCAAAGAGATTTGGTACACCTGAATGTCTACATACAAAAGAACACAGACCTGATCTCCAAAGACAAAAGCTACGTTTCACATTTGACATAGAGTCTGGATAGCCAGTTGTTAGGAAGGATGTCAGACCTCAACAGAACTCAGAAATAACCTAGGAAGATATCAAGGCTGGAAGGAGGATTGGATAAAACCTCGCTTGCATTCAGTATATGTCTAGGTGATTTTTGGCTTCGAATGATTTGAAATTGGAAGCCAAATATTTGCTGCTGGCACCCTAAAATAAAAAATGAAGAATTCCCCCACTAAGCTGCAGGACTTCAGTTAATCATTCCAAGTAATCTCTATGAAGGAAGTGCAGAGGAGTGATTAAACAAAGAAAGCTTCTTCTAACAAAAGCTATACGAAATTAAAAACAAAATACAGCTCTTCATCCACAGATATCACAATTTGAAACAATAATTTTTGGATCCTTTCATCCCACAAGGAAATTCAGGAAATCCGATATCAATATCTTAACTTCTCCCTTTGCTATGTTTAAGACTTCCTATCAAATAAAGAACAGATCTGTTTTTCACATTATTTTCAATAATCATGTTATTTGCAATAATCACATTTTCACGTTACTCAGATTAAAACTGATACATAAAATTATTACTAATAACATAAGGTAATTTATCTCTTTGGAAATATTAGTAACAGATTGATTCACCTATTTTAGAAATTAAATCTCTTTATATATCCTCTGAATGCTGTGATTTCATCAGCTATAGATGTAAAATGAAGCTGACATGTACTCACTTATTTTATTTCTCACTTCATTTATTTTTTCTCCAAGACATTTAGCTTCAGCATACCTGTTAATGCAACGATACAGAAAACACAGCTAATTAAAAACTTCGTTTACCATAGAATACGAAATTCTTCAGGACTACTTTTTGTTTTGTAAGTAGAACAGGCTGGAAAATATTTTCCATCCAAAAAGAGTTCGGTCTAAAAGAAACCATTACAAATACAACTAATCGGTATGCTAGAAAGAGAAGTAAATTTATATGACTATAAATGCTATTTCAATCTAAAGACTGTCTTTCTTTAAATATATAAATAGCAATTTATTACAATGAATTATGATAATATACATACAATAATCTATTAATTTTAATATGATAAGTTAATTGCAGGTTTTTTTTTTAATAACATACAGCTATATAGAAAGAGAGCACAGAAAGAAAAAAAAACATAAGAGAAAACTAAATATGTGAACTTCTGCTCATGAGGAAATAAAAAATTTAAACCTATAATAAGCATATTGACAATCACCATCTGTGCTATGCGAACATGCATGTCTCCATCATTAAGAAACCTCTCAAACAGAAAAAAGAAGGTGTGAATAAGCTACGTTATTCTGTTCTGCAGACAGTCCTTATGTGAATGCAAATATACCTACAGGTATGGTCCAATATTGATACAAGCTAAATCTAGCTAAATTAAGATACACAGATATCAAGCAAACAACAGCCCAAGTAAGAAGAATGGAAACAAATAAATAAATCTGGCTTTGGAAAATACCTTTTTATAATATTCAGATAACTGGATCTCAAATTAAAGCTGAAAGTGGGTTTTTTCGTTTTTCTTTTTTTTTTAAATGTGAAATTTCCTCTGGTACATTTCATCATAGAGGAATACAATTTTTGTAGATAAATAATAGGAACAGACCAAATTTTGTGTTTTCCTTCAAGAAAATTTATAATTGCCTTTTGTAATACACAATATTTGTTTCACTTACTATACCACATTTCTATCATCCAAGCATAAAATAAGGCCTTTCCATCTTGGAGTAGTGTTTTGACAGGAAAAACGAACTTAGTCATCTCTTGGAGGAGAGACCAAAGGAAGCTCAGTATGCAGCAAGACGTGTTGCTGGTGATTCAGTAGGTGGTTCTTCTCTCTGTGTTTACTGAACTAATCTACTCACACATTTCTTTAATGTGTGTGAAAGAAAACCACTTGTGGCAAATAAACATCACTTGATCCTTTCTACAAAAGTAGTGATTTTAAATCTGGCAGCCTGGACAAGTCTAATACTGGTAACTGCATTTCTCCTGCAAAGATCCATTTTCATTCTTCTGTCTCCTTCTTTTGACGCTGCAAATAACTTTCATATGCTTTTTACTGTAATTTTTTTTCTTCCACAACTGATTGAATTTAAGTAGAAAATTATTCATAGAGAGAAAAAAGTTCATCTGAGATCATCCTTGATAAGAGGTAATGTGATAATCACATTTTACAAACTCTCATTTCCAAAGCACTGAATAATGTCAGTGAAACAGTCCTCAAACATCCACAGATATTGTTATAGAAATCTTAGTAAAAAGGTCAAGCAAGCAATGAATGTAAAAAATTGCAATTATTATGAATAACAACACAGACATATATCCCAAATTGTTGAGTGAAGTAATTTAAACTGTATATGGAGGTTGCTCTGAAAGTAGTATCTCCTATTTATTTCCATGGAAACAACAGATCAGAGTGCAATAACACTGTTCAATAGAGCAAATTCTCAGCTACAAAACACCTTTTTTCAACATAGTCACCATTAGCTATGCATTTTTGCCAGTGATGAACGAAAGCCTGCATTCTGCGCTGATAAAAATCTGCACCAGTGGTGACACACCGTTGCTGTCTTCACTTCTGAAAAGCAACACCCACTGTGCTCACATCCACTGCTGCATCTCCATAAAAATTCACAAGGCATTTCTTCCAGAGCAGCCCTCATACAAACTGACAGTGTCTTGCCTGCCCGCAAGTTTGGTGATACTGAAAGTCCTTGGGGAGCCAAGACTGTGTTTCTCTCTTGTAATTCAACAGTACTGTGTAAAATTTCTGGCAGTTATATGTCTAAAATAACTCACTGATGACATCCTGATAGTACTCAGATCATCAAGAACTCACATGGCACGTTAATCATTCCAACAATCAGAATTTTTTTTTTAGCTAGCAGAATGATGTTGTAGTGATGCTCACTTCAGTGTTATAAAGCATTCCTCTCACTGTATGTATGTCTTGCTCTTTCATAAGTTTGTCATCTACATATTTCATTAAAAAGCAGAGCCTTACAAATGCACTCACATTCTCTACAGCCTGTTAGAACTTGATGCCTTATCCTCTTTTTTCCCTAGCAGTTTTCTGATATTTTACAACAGTTCTTGGTATAATTACTCCACTATACTTAACTCGGTACTACATAACGCTGTTAAGGAAAAATGGCATCCATATCAGGCATTCATAGGCTAAATGTATTCTGCTGTGAGGATTACAACTGTTAATTCATTGTAACAGTTGAAATAGTAAAAGTTTAAAATGTAGAAGGACAATTTGCTACATTGTGACCTTTGTCATGTGATATTAGGCTTGATGTGAAAGTCTGAACTGTTACTTTCATCTCTGCAAATCAAACCCTGTTGGATGTGGAGACAGAACTGCAACACACCATTTTTCAGTAAGCCTGTGACTGACCTGGATGAGTCTTGCTCAAACAGGATAACTGAGGAGATCCACAAATTGTATTTCTGTCTAACTCAAATAATGACAAAACATAGTAGATAGATATGAATATCCCATTGGGAAGAGGGTCTTGGAAAACTGCCTTTTCTCAATCAGTTCATTTCCCAAGTGAAATTCAAAAGAGCTGGAATTTCAGGCAACCACATTCACATCTGTACACTTATTTTTCAAGGCAGAATTTAACAGAGCTAAATAGCTCCAGCTGGGGTATTCTTCAGCACTTCCTATATCCTGCATAATGAAAGCAGAAGCCTTTGAAGTATCTGTGAGACTTTCATATAACCATTTGAACTATTTCAGACTTAGAATACTCAAGCAAGTACAGAAGACTGTGCAGAGATCTAAAGGGAACAAACAGAAGTATCTCTCTCTTTCCTCCAGCTTCCATAGGTCAAATATTAACCTCATTAACTAACTACTGAGTCAAAAGTGGGCTCTGATTCATGTTCATAGATAAGATTCAGTTGGACAAGTTGAAGCCAACTGCCTATCCAGCCGGTGTCCGTAGCTAGTTGCCTTGAAAACAGGACTAGCTGAATGGGCTATGCATCTGTTTCTCAAATCCCATAGTTTATAAACTGGCACTATAACTAACACTTTGCATTAGTCTATGAAAGACCAAGAAATTCCATCTGGGAATACGAATCACAGTAAAATTAAATAAGCATGATAAAGACAAAATTTGATTTTATTGAAAGAAAAGGACTACTCTAAGAAAAAATATCTCTCATAAAGTTCATATTGGTAAAAATAAAAATGAGTGAACAATTACATTGTAAGCTCAAAAGAGTCCATGAGTATCCTACATGAATAGAGAATTGTCACGGAGCAATAATTTTGCAAAGGTTTAACTCATCAATCAAAGGTCAGCAATTAAAAATTTAATATTTTGAAAAACAAATCTCTAACTTATAATGTAAAACAAGACAAATTCAAATGAGACAGCAGAGATATTTAGTAGAATATACAAACATTCATTCATTTCTAATTAGAAACTGAGTGACTTAAGTGAAACACATCTTTTCCATGAAACTCATACATAGCTACCAAGCTACTGAGAAAACGACTTAGCTGCTAAGCAGCTGAGACACACAAAGCAAGAAAAGAGGCAAGTGGAAAAAATTAATAAGGAACATCAAAGGGGAAACTAGATTTACATTACATCTGGGAACTTAGTACAATTTTACTACTGGAAATACTGACTAGAATGGAATTTAAAAGGCTTTGTGCAGTATACAATATTGCACTGGAGTGGCTTAGCTGGGAATATTTCTAGCTTTATTGCACAAGAAAATGAGACAGATTTCTCCTCCTTCGAGAAGCAACTCTTAAGAGAACATGACTATACTGAGTAACAGGACACTATTAAGTCCTCAAAAAGTCAGGTATAGGATGTTCAAATTCCAGCAGTCTCATTTTGTCTGGGCACAAGCATAGATATTTAAGCAGCACTGCAGTTGTTCTACAGAAGAAAAATAGAAAGAGTTGTACTGTAAAATTAACTGTAAACTAACCTATAGATCACTTTTTCAGTCTTACAAGGTCACTTTTCTAGTAGTTCCCATAGGCAATTGTACTAACGGGATAGTCTCAATCTATTGTCTTTCACACAGACAGGAAGTCACTAAATGAGCTTCAAAGAGAAATGATTTTTAACTAAGCTTTCTTTCCCCCCCACCCCCCCCTTTAATCCAGGCATGGTAGTAAGTTACAGTACTGAGTTATATTCCCTGTAAAGGTCTCTGAAGTAGTAGGTGAAAAGTTTTATGTTTGAAACAGTATTGCTTTTATTCACGTGATTTTCTAGGTTTTTTTGTTTGTTTGTTTGTTTTTACGGCAAGATAGATATTTCTCAGTATTTGATTTAATCAAATGATTACATTTGATTGTTTATAAATAAGCAGTTACAGAACATATGCACATACACAATACACGCATACACACAGAATCAAAGCATGACTGATGTTGGAAGGGACCTCTGATGGTTGTTTGGTCCAATCCCTGTTCAAGTAAGGACATCTAGAGCAGGTTGCCCAGGACCATGCCCAGGCAGCTTTTTTTACAAGGAGGGAGAATCCACAATTCATATACGTCAATAATTTCACAGCCGGGGAAATAGTTGTGACTTTTGCTGTCAAAATTTGAACTACTCTCACTGACAAATCACCATTCAATTAATACAAGAACAGTATAAATAACAGCCAAAGAAAATCTACCCAAAATATCCAAAGGAAGGAGTATGACAGCTAAAAATAAGTACTTTCTGAACCAAATACTGTTGTTGGTATGACAAAAGCGGTTATGTAACTATAAACAAAAATATTAACATGAGAAATCTCTATGTAAAGGGAAGTTATGGTAACCTTTAAACATCTGGTGTCCACACGTCTTCCTGTGCAATTTGAACACTGGCTGGGTAACCCAGTTTTTGTGCAACTGGTGGTTCAGAGGTTGCATTCCAAATTACAGACTGGACTTTATATAAACCCATTTTAATGAACTCAGTATACTTGGAGCTACAAATATCTCACTAAAATCTACTGTAAAATGACATGGGAGACCTTGCTTCTCATTTCTAAGTATCAGCCTTCACATTAGCACCAATTTCATCAACCAGCTGCAGCAAAGTAGAGAGGGGCTGTGAGTCTGAATCTCTTTGTCTTTTAGGGAAAGAAAATCTGGTGTCAAAGTCTGTGGGTTCCACACATCCCTATTGCATGTTCTGAAATCAGAAGTATACACTGGTTTAATTCAATTGTAATAATGATCAGAGAAAATGTGGTTAAATTCTGGTTAACTAGAAGAAATTCAGGAGACAATTCAGAGCTGCTGTGCTCCCATGATCATGCTGTAACCATGAAGTGTTCTCTTAATGGACAGCAACAACAGAAATTATTGCAGTGCAAGATATATGTGGCATCATCTATTGATCAAATGGAAGATGTTATTAAAGGTCTGATTTACATGCATAACATAACATAACACATGCATTACACATTTTATGTGTATCTAATACTTTGTCAGTGATGCACCTGTGGCTGCAAGTGATAGACCTGGATAAAAAATTAACCAGTTCACAAAAATGGTAAGTAGCAAGATCATGAGTAAGCCAGAAAGACATGGAGATCATTTATTGCCTGAGTTTTGAGGAAATAAATGAATATTTGATTCAGTGATGCTGAAAATAGTGTCCTGCATGCCTGTTTAGTAGGAAAATTGTTCTATTAGTGAAATACAAGAAAGCAGATAAGATATTGAGAAGGAGACTCAAGGGGGAAAAAGAAGAGGAAAAAAATCAAGCAAAAACATAAAAGAAATGAGGTAAATCCTCATCAGGTTGGAAGGGCACACTGAGAGATCTGCTTTTGGCATGCCTAAGCTAAAAATGCCATATTCCTCTTACAGAGCATGGAGGATTAATGCTTGCAAAACTGACAGTGAAACAGTACTGTTATACAGACAACAAGCCTTGATAGTTTATTTTTTGAGATGTGCAAAGTATGCAACATGAAAATTCATGTTAATATTTCACCATTCTCACCATCTTCACCAGAAGATTTTGAAGTGTTTTTCTAGTGTTAACAACAAATGTGAAAGGATAAAACATTATTTCTGTTTTAGAGAGCAAAACAGGAAGATCTAAAATCACTTGGCAAACAAGTTAGGAGCAACAGACCAAAGCATCTGTTAAACATCTCCTGCTTTACTGTCCAATTTAGTGCTGAAGCCAGTAAAGCATTTTTGACAATGGAAATTACAGTAATCAATTTAGTCACATGAATCTAGCTTCCTCTCAATAATTCATGATCATGAATGCCATTTACCACATTGCTTCCATAGGGCTACAAAGATAAGATGAATAAAACGAGAGGAAAGATGCTCTGAGACCACTAATACCGTTATCATATTCTCTTCAGACTTTCATTCTGTCCTCATTCAGTGCCCTCCAAATAAGGAATCTCCCTGTCAGAAAAGGCTAAGTTTCTGCACCAAAATCTAAGTAGAAACATAGAACCCCCGATCTAAAATTATGCATTCTTACCCAGGCTCATAATGAACTCTCAGATGCCTCTCTCCAGCTGTACCTTATTGGGACACTCACCTCTGTTTGAGAAGCTGTTTGTTGTCCTCAATGGTTATACTGTCAGCATGGTCCTGCATGAAAACTTCAAAAGCCTCATGACATCCAAGTGACATCTTTCCTTCTGTCTCAAGAAAAAAACAGGAACTGTGTCAGAGTGAATAAGAGGCAGAAATCTCACATTTCCTTTATCCCATTTTAGACAGATCAGCCAAAGCATCTTAAAGAACCTGGCAGATTATGCTCTGTTGCCCACCAACAGGAAAGAATTTTTCACAAAAGAACTGAAAAGTTTTTACCTGGCAAGTTAATTCTGTTTCACTTTGGAGAAACAAAATCTGAAAGCTTGTGTTGAATAAGTTCTATCTAGACTTGACTTTATGCAAAGTCAACTTTGTATAAAGTCAACTTAAATTTTTTATAAATAAAACCAATGTACGAAATTTTAAAGTATTGAAAACATTTTGAAGAATATTAGAAGGATTTTCACAACACCAAGCTGCACTTTGCTTCAGTATTTCTTTCACCCCTTTATCGTATTTACCCCAAGACATGACTTGAACATTTTCAGTACTCCGGGAAGAGAAAAACTGGAGATTATTTTAATTACATGTGTTTCATATTCCTCAGTGAATGTTATCCCCTTTCAGTAAATCAGATATAGTGGCTACAAAAATAGCTGATTTCTGCCACTTAGACTTTCAATATTGGATTTATTTCCTTCTGGCACCAGAAAGTCATGACATATTTGGCCTTCGAATCTTTTTTCAAAATACTACAGGAAAGTATTACGATCTGTATTATTTACCAGTTCTCATTGCTAAATGATCCACAGATCTAAATAAGAAGTTATGCATGACATTTAAAACAAATAAATAAATCAAAGCCTGTTTTTCTGTTTCAGAGCTATCATAGAATGTTTCGGGTTAGAAGGGACCTGTAAGATCATATAGTTCCAAGCCCCCTGCTGCAGGCAGGAGCACCACCCTCTAGAACAGGTAGCTCACAGTCCCATCCAGCCTGGTCTTGAATGTTCTGGGTTGGAACATCCACAGCCTTATCAGACAACAAGATGAAGTGTCTCATCACCCTTACAGCAAAGAATTTCTCCATAATATCTAGTCTAAATCTGCCCTCCTCCAGTTTAATGCCATTTCCCCTCATCCTGTTTCTACCTGCCTTTATAAAACGTTGCTCCCCATCTTTCCTAAAGGCCAGGTACGGGAAGAATGCTGTAAGATCTCCTCAGAGCCTTCTCTTCTCCAGGCTGAAGAGCTCCAGCTCCCTCAGCCTGTTGTCATAGAGGAGGTGTTCTCGCCCTCTGATCCTCTTTGTGGCTCTCTTCTGGACCAGCTCCAACAACTCCATGTCCTTGTGCTGGGGGCTCCAAAACTGGATACAATAATCCACGTGAGGTCCCACAAGAGCAGAATAGAGGGGCAGAATCACCTCCGTTGACCTGCTGGTCACACCTCTCTTGATGCAACCCAGGATACAGTTAACCTTCCAGGCTGCAAACACACACTGCTGGCTCATATTGAATCTTTCATCAACTGACATTCACAAAACTTCTTCTCAGGGCTGTTATCACACTAGATATCCCTCTGTCAAAGGGGAAATCAAATCCGTTGCTACAAGAGTACCAAAGTTTATTGGGAGTTTTGCTGTGCAAGAATTTCCTATATGATTTGTGCCAATGAATCACCATTACCAACAACCTACAAAGCTTGCAAGCTATTTTCCTGTCTATGTACTTCGCAATTTTGGTGTAAGTGGGGATGAGGCATATTAACAAAACATACCTAAAAGTTATGCCATGCAATTCATGAATGCTACACCTATTTGGGTCCTGATCAGTTTGCATGAAAAAAACTACATTTTAAGCTCATGCAGGACTATATTTTGCTGCGCCTCATGATGCTTATCATTTCAGAATTTCTTCCCCCTGACTTCAGTGAGATTTTTGTGGTATAAGATATTGTTTACACTGAAGGCTGGTAATGCAAGTTAGCATTCAGGGTTCAATAATCAGTGAAAGTTTTAAAACTATTCAAAGTATAGTAGAAAAACTTCCACTCTATTTCAGTTGAAAGAATCAGCACATCTGTTACTAATCTAAAAATTCTGAGTTGAAAATAGAACCACCAGGAATGTTTAAATGGCAAAGCATGTAGTAATGCTCCACCCTTTCTGAAGAAGAAAATCAAAGAAAGATACAGTACACTTTTGCCACTGCGAGATCCAAAAGAGTAAAAGGGTTTTGGAAAATATATTCTTTTTTTCTGCAGTGATGACCTGAGAATATAACGTTCATGTTTCAAGCCTCCATTGAAGAAAAGAGTCAGCTTTGCAAGCAGAATTTTATAGTACATTCATCCCATCATTGACGCTAATTTTTAGGGGCAACCTGAACTGACCCTCTGAAATTGCTTATTTTTTTTCAGGAAAAAGTTTCATTAAGTGCAGAAAGCCTTAATGAAGATCACATCTGAGCTTAAAATAAACAGTGAATCACAATTTCTTATATGGAATACACAACATGAAATATTTAACCCTTCTGAAAATGCTTTACCTTTGAGTAAGCAGCAGCACTAGGTTTGGAATACAAAAACTATTATAGTGCTTACTGCTTCTAGGCAGAAGTCTGTTAACCAAAATTAATGGTATTCTGATAATAGTTTTCCAGCATTATATTAAGGGGCAGCAGAATTGTACAGCTTAACAAAACAAATAAGAATAGATCTCTAGAACTCATGAGAATGGGAAATTTTCTGGTTCATAAAGTGCACTTCAAAAAAATACAGAAGTCTATGGAATAGTAAACAACCACAATGAAAACAATGAAAACAGTATCTTAGCAGCTTGAAAGAAGCATTAAGATTGTACCTCAGCCCAACGAGCATAAAACTGATACAGAATGCATATTGCAGCATGTAGGTAATAATGGAGAAAGTTAGAATTATAATAAGGGAATACAGCAATGTTAATACCAAAAAAAAAAAAAACCATTGCAAGAAGCATTGGAAGCTTGGAGAGGTAATATATTCAGTAATGATAATTCTGTGTGCTTGGTGTATTTTCAATTATGACATCTACACTTTCTCAAATGACATAATTTTATTAAATAGTTTTTCTCTAGCTGCAAACTGATATATATTTACTGCATTATATGCAATAAATTTAAGAGTAAAAGAATTGAGAAAACATTGATGATAGCACATCGTTAGCAAGGTTCTCGAACAGTTCAGCTAAAACACTTAGTCCTGTAGAAAACAATTCAACAATTTTCATTTTCTTGTACAAGCCAAACAAATTCAATACTGTGGCATGGTATTACAAAGTAAATATTTCAAAATTCTTATTTAAGAAAATCTTCACATACTACAGGCAAGAGCTATGAAATGTCATTGTCATTACACTGCAAATTGGAATAATCATTATCAACATAATTTGGATGGTTAGAAAAAAAATTCAGTTTTCTTGCAATAATACTTGTGAAATCCTAGTTGACATGTTGTATAAAAAAACGTGATAACTTTTGTACTAATTTTTTTTAAACTTTACTGTCAGGTTGTGTAAGTTGGTTTTAATGTTCAAATATTCAGAAATGTGTTCAATTCACAGCATGAAGTTTACAGCAAACTCGTAATTCACTGCAAAATCAGAGTTCAAATTTGGGGAAAAGTCATGTTTTGATCCACATTCTGGATTTGAATGTTTAATAATGTTCTCACTGAACTTTATTAATGTTCATTTCAGTCTGCACTTCTATCCAGTGCACTGCACCACCCTGCATATGAAACAAAAAGTCTCAGTGCAAGAGACTCCTCCAGAAAAATCTGCAAATTAAAATGATCCCACTGAGCTCAGAAAGGAGAATCACAATGACTACTAACAAGTGCTGACCTACAGCAACAAGAACAATAATAACCAAGAAATAGAAAGTGCATTGTAGTGTTCATTAATGGACTAAAGTCTTGTAATTAACAATAATTCAAAATAAACTGAGAAAAAAAAAATATAACAATGCTCTTGGAGGTGCCTTATTATTTTTTAAGGTGACATATAAGATCTTATCTTTATAAGATATAAGCCTTCATATCAGCAAATCCCCTGGCAAATATCACACAGCTTATTCTATCATTTAAGCAATTCATTTTACACGTTTATGTACTAAATGCTATTTACAGTCATTCAAAACAGCATTTAATGCCTTTTAAATTCTAAATGGAAAATACATATGCATAGTGTTGCACTGGATGCTCAAATGCTGGGAGAAAAAATATCAATCTGGATAATGTTTTAATGTTGAATACTATCCACTGGTATTATTAAAGGAATAATCCAAGTAGGTAAGAGCACAAAAGTAAAAAATCTAAATTATTTTGTTTCCATGAATACCAGACATGTTTAAACGCATTTAAGAGATGATGCTGATTTTTAAAGGTACCCAACAACCACAAATACTATTGGACCCTGTTTTGGTAATCCTAGATTACAAATAATAGACATTTTTCAAGATTTTATTCTAGAGACTTTTTCTTCATAAAGGTTTCATGGGCATCCACACTAGGAATGGCACTATTAGGCCTGACCAATTCTTTCTGTTGTTGTTGGTTGCTTGTTGAAAAAGAATTTATTTCTTAGAGTCAGAAGATCTTCATGAAGTTTAATGTGTAAGATCCAATGAAAATACTTGCATTGCTCTTTAGTTAAGTCTGGAAAATGGCTCAGAAGGTATCAATTTCATGCTACTGTTTGTGTTAGAAGATACTACAACCTGTCAGAAATAAGAATCACAGTCTATCCTTCATAAGTCCAACTTATAGCCAGATTTTGGTCCTGGTATGAAAGCTTTTGGGAATTCAAGCAGTTCTCACGACACAGGCTGTCAATTTAATTTGCAAAAAGAATTGGAAACAATTCTTTGGAAGTGAAGAATTGAAGATGCAATTTGAGCTATTTTGGGGGAGGAATATTAAGACTGTTGACAAAAACAAACTCTTGGGAATAGCTGTTCTGACTCCTCACAGACTATGTATTCTGATGATAAAAGCAGCTGTCCACTTTTCTGCCCACATATCTGTTCTGCAAAAATTTACATTTTCACAATGGAAGACTTTG